CGTGTAGTCTGTAATTAAAAAGGGAAGAAATAGCAGCCTAATTAGTCAAGCTCCTAATTAGCACAATTTTAAACTAATTAATGTCTGTAATGGGGAGGGGCGGGTGGGGAGACGCAAAAATCTCGCTTTTAAACTTACACTCACCATTTTCTTCGAAAATATATGTGAGTTCCACAAAAGATTTTAGTTAGCTAATTTTCACGACTAAATTAATATATAGATCTAAAGAAATTTATCATAAATAACGAAGAAAATAATTTATATATTAGTATTTTTCCGACCTTCATGAATATTTCAGTAAGCTGAGTACGTTCATCAATAGTTGAGAGATATATGTTTTGTAATTTATTTTATTTATTGTAAACCACTTAGTCTATAAAACATCCAGAAAGACAACTTTTAAATTATTGCTGTAAATAACGTTTTCATGAAGTGATGAAAGCTGATTTATTTTGCTTAATCGGGGAGTTAAGTATCAATCTATACTATGTTGAAAATTAAATTTTCGATAGAAGTTTTTGCTATGATCAAGATTGGAAAAATCTTCACTAGAGAAATGTTTACTTTCTGTTTCTGACGTTGCTAATTGATAATAAATCGAAAACTACTCATCATTATTAATATCCATAGAATTAGTTTTAGAATCAAGAGAAATATCTACAAATTTGGTCTGATAACTGCAATGATTTTATTCATTTAATGTTAATGAAGTAAATTCATCACGATTAAACATATATTAACTTGATTGTCTAACTGAATAGATGCAGACGATTGTAAATATTTAAATAGATTATTAAATCGTTAAATACTTTGTGTGAAAATAAAAGGGCAAACAAATCATATGAGATTATAATCGAACTATTTAACCATTTAAAAGTGTATTAATTAAGTTTTCTTCTAAATTCAATTTCATAGGTATGATGAATTTTTTTTGATAATTGATGTATTATTTCAAATTGTTTCTAATTGAATGCAATGAATATTTCATTTAAAAGAAATTTTGAATAGATTTTCAATTTTGAGAAATAAAATAAAAAAACATGTTTCATGAAAGTTTTACGGGAAACATTTTAGGAAATAAAAATAATTTTAGGTGAATACAAAAACACAGTTCAATAAAGGTTTGTGTTTGATTCTTCTAAATAATAACTAATTTTCGATAGATTTAAACATTTTTGAATTATTGGCATTAATTATTTTCCTTTAAGTTAGAAATTTCTTAAACAAATACTAAGAAAAAACAAGTTTGTCGAGCTGTGATCATTTTTCAATTGTTAATCTTTATCAATGCAAATAGATGAACAAAAAAGATGATTTTATGCATTAAATTTAACAGTCAAAGATAAGAAATCTCAACTATTTTCTTAATTATAAATCCATTTTAAAGTTACTTTTAATAATCTAATCTTTGATTTCTATCGGACAGTTATTTTATAATTAAAGTTATATCGAAGGCACTATTCACAAAAATAAAATTAAAATCTCATAGAAAAAATGTTCTGGTGGGTATTCTCTTCATTGTTTTTTATTTCATTTTTCTGTAGACATAAGAGAAAAGAGATCGTCTGAAGATCTCAAATATCAATCAAATAACTATTTAGAATAGCTTATTTTTATTTCAACAACAATCCCTGATACAGAAAAAAGACAAACTAAACTAGAGCCAAGAGAAAAAAAGATCTTTGTTGTGTTCATAGATAAGAGTTACATTTAGATACATACGGGAGAATTTTATTATTAACAGATAAATCTCTCATTTACTATATCAACACCCATACCAGTCGATGGTTCACGACGGACAGCTCCATCATTTTCCGTCAATACTGGCAATTCACTTCCATTTTCAATTGCAGTTAGACATTTTTCAACATCCCAGGTCGATCAACTTGTGTCGTACACGGTCGTTTGGTATGCATCGTATTACGGTCGTTTTGTATCGTGCCATAAACGATCGGATACGGAAATATCCGAACACATTACGGTCGTTAGTAACCGTTTACGACACGATTAATTACGACCGTAATACGGTGCATACCAAAACGTCAAGTTACGGTCATTTACGGTGAGAAACGGCAGGAAACAGCAGTATACGTTAACGTTTACGGCCGTATACGACCGTTTCTGGTAGTCGTAATGCTCGACCTGGGATAATTTACATTTATTGTATCTTTTCATTGAAACCAAGTGGTTTGTTCTTTAAATAAAATCATTTCAGCTAATCTACCAAATTCTTGGTCACATTTCGGTTTCTTGATCTGACAAAATTGCAACATTTTGCGGGGACTCATATTGATATCATCGACTTGCTAAATAAAAAAAGAAACCTTTGACATATAATTGTAGGTTTCGCCCTATTATCGATCTTATATACGTAGAAGAAAAAAATTCAACAGGCTCTTTACTTGGCGTATCCGAACGTGAGCACATTCATGTAATGCAATGGTGATTAAATCCATTTTTGTAATCGAGTTCAATAGACGAGTATTCGATTTCCATTCAAAAATCTTAGTCGAAAAATAATTGTCATTAATGAGCAATTCGTTTAAGCCGGGAAATCCACGTAATGTTGGAAAATCGATCGAAATAAAATAGACTTGTATCGGAGTTTTAGTCATTGTCTTGATTTCTGTATTTCGACCAAAAACTTCATGCATCAGATCTTCAATCAATTTGATAATCTACAAATAAAAAGACCAAACTAAATAACTGAGAAAGTTAAGAGAAAATTGGTCGCATGGCGGCTCTGAAAAAAGAATCCTTAACTTTAAAAATATGTAAATTTCAAGTTGGCCGCACTATTCGGTAGGCTCATATCTGAAAAGTTCTTGGTAAAAGGATGAGTGATACTAAACTCATACCCTCACTTTCATTCATAGCTTCTCAAAAGAGAGAATTTTAATTAAGCATATTGCTATTGAAAATGTCATAGCTATTTACAACTTCCCATAGCTATTTAATTCGAATCACTGTATATTTTAGCCAATAGTCGAAACTGTGATCCATAAAATGCTCGATACTAATCAAACTATTTTGAGTAATCTCGACTCATGACAAAGTTGCCTCCAGAGCAGTTGTCGTTCCTTTTTCACAAGCTAATTTATTTGAATAATTAGTTCAATACGCGAGTGTTATGCAATACAATATTGTCAGAGAAAAGTAAAAAAAAACTAAAAATAAGTCGAGGTTGACAAAGAAACATCGATAAATAAATAGAAGATCAGATTACTCAACAATTTTTTCAATACTACATATCCTAGTATTGTAGACGACAAAATTATCAGAAGAAGAGTCAAAAATAATTTCAAAATATGTTCAAGTTGATAAAGAATCCTTGATACATGAACAGTAGGCAAGCGGAGAAGAATCATTTTGTTGCGTTTTTAAGAATACAGGTTCTTTTTATGGCGAAAGCTATTACAGAGCAAATATTAACTGTCTCAAATGGTAACACCATTTACGATAGCAATGAATGCTAATTGCAGATTTGTTACCCTGATCCTCAGTTTTTTTCCTTTTTTTGGTAGATAATAAAAACATTACATATATTATTCGTTGCAGGGACCCATAATGCAATAGCACACTTCTAAACAGGAAACCACTTCACCAACAATGAACAAAGCAAAAACAATTCTTTGAAAGACCTAACTGGTCGTCAAGCGTTTCTTCACAATTTTTCCCACCTCTTGCTCATCACTTGCAGTAACAATAAAAGAAAATTACTCAGTAATCTTGCTCAAATAGATATCAATCACAGTGAATAGTATTAAAAAGTTAAAATAGCTACGTGCAGCTTTAAATAGCTGTTCGAGAGTTTTAATAATTATAGATAACTAAAAAATTGTTTCGTACACTCTAAATGACTATACGCTGGTTTCAATCGCTATTTATCTTAGAATCTTTATACAGCAAAAATTGTATCTCTTTTGGCAATGAATTCTTTCATTACCCTTATCGTCATCGCGATTTGTTTATTTGAACTCACTTGAGGATGGCTGATGGTTTTCAGTGCAATCGATTTCCACTGTTCCAACTGTTGTGTCAGATTTGTACGTGCAGATAAATCTTCAATTTTCATAAAGAGTAATACCACTAACCATAACTGCATTTCCATTTTCGTAATGTGAACCATTAATGTTAGTTGAGCACGAGCATGAATATTCGAACCGTTTCGTTGAATAATATTAGCCAATGCTGTAAATCCTTTATTAAGAAATGAAATTTTTAATTTCTCGCCATAATTACTGGAAAAATTCATGATGACAACTGCTGGCATATTTCTAAAATATAGATATACGCCTTTTGGTGAAAAATTTCAGAAAAAAAAATCGTTTTTTTCTAGCTGAAATTACATACTGGACAGATTCTTCTGGTTTTGTACATTGCAATAGAATTGGTGTAAAATTTTTCAATTTCTGAACGAGACTAGATCGATCAATATATTCAGCATTTTGATGTACTGGTAAAAATTCATCACGAAAATATTGTATCACTCCAGCCATCTGAAAAAAAAGAATTACAATCAGGTATAACTGCAAAAGAACAACAATCGGATCCAATAAGATCCTATAGAAATCCGATCGCATTTTATATGAATTTCCAATAAACCAACAAATTCCTATCGGATTCTGGGTTGCGGAATGAGATTCGGATCCCTAGTGTCGGAATAACATTAGATAATCATCGAATCCTATTGTCGGATAGTGACGGATCCAACACTCGACTCGGACTACCCTCCAATGTTGGCTTCAAGTACTAATTAGTGAGCAATTAATTAAATACTTTTCCCGTCGGGTCCGTTAGTAGTTCCGTGGCCCGGGATCCCATGGGATTTTATAGGCTAGTTGGATTCGATATCGGATTCACTCACCTGGGTATGAACCCTGAGCCTATACCAATACCAAGCAGTGAGAAAAAGTGAAACAAAAGCAAATGTTCCGTGATTGGTTTGCTGATTTTTGGACGAGGCAAGATATATGATTGATATCAGTAGATAGAGAAAAGGATTCTGTATTGAACTACGTTTTTTGGTCTTTCCTGAAAAACTGGGAAGTGAAAAATAGAGGGCGCCATCAAACAGTGGCGACATATAAATATGTTTGCTGCAGGAAATTTTGATTTTGAAATACTGCTAGATCAATTCTCTCATATTTTTCTGTTTTACCACATTATTTTTAAATATAAATTCAGCTAATTGCTATCATTTTCAATCCCACAAGAGATCAGGTAACTTTTAAGTATCTTTGCGCAATAATAACAGTAATTGCTTTACATCAAAGCTATAGTAAATGACAAAAATAGATTTTTATCTAACCTTGAGGGTGTGAGCGTGATTTTGACTGTAGCTACATGAGGGATTGTAATTGGGTGTATTTTTTAATGATCATGTCATTTTAATTCATTTTCAACAGTGAACCCACGTGTCCTTATTTTGAATAGAATTCAAGTTATTCATATTTATTTAGATATAGAAATACACACAGGGGTTAAAAGAAGAAGAAAAAAAATACGAGAATAAAACGTCATCTTAGAAAAATATTCACTCAACCAAAAAGAAACACGATTAGATAAGTCTTATGGCTCTGATCAAGAGTCTTAGGTTGTTGTACAGTATTTGTAGCTTGTGCTGCTTGTTGCTATTAAATAAAAAACATAATAACTATTGCAGTTAGTCGCCACAATCGGTGCTAATGAATAAGCGCATACAGCTCCTGTGTAAAAGCAAACAGTTCCTGATACTGATGTACCAGCTGTGGCTGGTAATGTTCCATTAAAATAACCAGGATAGCTGGCACCACAAATACTCGTGGTTGTGACAGCAGTCGTGAGAAGTTTTGAACCTGCAGATCCTGTAATACGATACCAACCGGAAGCTATATATGAGATGGTATCAAATGGTGTATAGCAACAACCATAACCATTGACATAATTTCGATATGCATCGTTGATAGTCGTGTAAGCATAACATTGCGTTGGCAATGTAGCTGCAAAAATAAAGTATTCGATACTTACGATATCAAAATAGTTATACAACGACATGCTAGAAAAGTCACTAGGCTAGTTGATTTTTTACTCATTCAAATAACGAGACAGAGCTTGATTTCTTCTCTTGCCAAACACACGGCCGAAAAAATTAAATATACAAGGATAAAATGAGAGAAAAATCTGCTCACTTCACAAAAGTACAATAATACCATATCGGATTTAGATTGATTGATATCTCTAGTATCTTCTGGGGGCAAAAAGTATCCAACAGCATACGAAAACTTCGTAAAAGAAATTTTCCTATTCTTACTTGTCGTGTCAGTCGCTGATGCAGTTGAAGTTGTAGCCGATGATGCGCTCGAATTGATCCTAGGAAAATGCACACGAAAATGTATATACCACAACAGAACACGTGATGTTTTCACTCTTACCAAAGTGTTACAAAAATGCTTAATGGTATAGCACACAGAATAAATCCAACCAGTAAGAATACCAATTTCGTTGATGTCATTTTTTCACATACTTTGGAAAAACTGAAAAAGACATTAAAGAAATGAATGAAGGTTCTCAAAAATATATAA